GTGATAGAGTCTTGCTTTGTCACCCAGGCTGGAGTGCATGGCGTGATCTTGGCTCCCTGCAACCTCTGCTTCCCAGGGTCAAGTAGTTCTCTGCCTCAGCCTCCTGAGTAGCTGCGATTATAGGCGCTTGGTACCACGCCCAGCTAATTTTTGTGTTTTACTAAATACAAAAGGTGGGGTTTCACCATCTTGGCCAGGCTGGTGGTCTTGAACTCCTAACCTCATGATCCACCCGCCTCAGCCTCCCAAAGTGTTGAGATTACAGGCCTGAGCCACTGCACCCAGTGGAGAACTGCTTTTTTATTTGAGGAGCCTCAATCAAGGTTGTGGGCCTAAAGTTTAATTTTTGTTGTTGTAGTTAGGGGTGTTATTTTTCTATGAAATTTATTTCTCAAGTGCAGTTTCTCAAATGTTGAGATTCCATATCTTCCGTTGGGCCCATTCGCCAACGTAGACACAGGTTATGATTAGGAAACTACAAGATGTGAAATAGCAAACACTAGCCGCAAGTATGTGGTCTGTTCCTAGTTTGGAAGCCCCAGATCTTTATCCCCTACCCTGATTAAGTTGAAACATGGGACTATCTTCCTGTCTACTGTATTTGCCTAACGCCTAGAGAAGAATGGACGTGCGAAAGCACCTCTTTTCTGTTTACTGTGCCCCGACCTTTGCTCTTACGTTAAGCCTTTAAAATTGAGAGCTACTCTAGGAGATTAACAGGAGGAAAAATAAATTTTCACTTCTTTGTCTGTCTCTTCCCCCATAAGAGATGAAACACTTCATTCCCCAGACACTCTTGTGATCTTTTCTGTCCTGTTTATGTCACTGCATAGGAGAAGCCATTCTTGGAGTTACAAAGGGAGCTGGTATGTGGCCAACAATCCTCATTTTTCCTGTCTTAACTCAGTAGACTTAACTGTCAGACTGATAGTTAGCTAGGTTGTTGCTCTGCCCATTCAGCATTGGTGAACAGCCTAAGTCATGTGTGTACTTTTGTAAGCTTCTAAGCCTTGCCTCAGCTTTTTTTTTTTTTTGTATTTGCTTAGAAATAATTCAGTGATATATAAGTGCATATACATGTTACTTAAATTAACCTGAAGACGACTGTCCTATGATGTGGCCAAAAAGTCACCTTTAAATTTATTTCTTATCTTGGGAGGCTGGGGCAAGAGGATCACTTGAGACCAGAAGTTCAAGACCAGCCTGAACAACATAGCAAGACCCCATATTAAAAAAAAAAAATTAAAAAATTAGCTGTGTGTGGTTTCATGGGTCTGTAGTCCCAGCTGAGCATCCAAGCAGGAAGATGGCTTGAGCCCAGGAGTTTGAGCCTGTAGTGAGCTATGATTGTGTTACTATGCCCCAGCCTGGATGACCCCATCTCCAAAAAAATTCTATTTACCATCTTAAAATGTGCCTTACTAGCTGTTGTCCAGTTGAGTTCACCCTCCAGGGTTATTCAGTGTGATGAGTATAATAACTCTTACCAAGTTGTATGACATTGTTCCTTGCTGATACTAAATTACACACCTTTACCAAGTAATAGAGTCACAATGATCTCATCAATTCTTATTGTGATTTTAAAACAATTCTTTTAGTTACCAAAAGGATAGACAAATTTGACTATGTGATTAAGCCCTTTAGATTTCATGCTTTAAGAAACAGGATTCTTCTCCAAGGTTAAGCTATGGGAAGCTGGTAGTACCTATCCATTCCATCTCTAACAATGCATGTAACTTAAAAATCTAATGTGAAATGATGCCTCACAGTATTTCTCTCTAGATTACAATGGTTAGAGTCTAATATATATTTTTTAACAAAAGACATAACTTTAAAAATATTTCTTCGCAGTGTCATTAATATTACATAGTAATATAGGTTAACTACTGTATGTGCTAAGTGCTGTGTATAGGTTAAGTGTTTGGACAATGACTCTACTGAAAATACCTGTTTTTCCATCTTAATTTGTCATTCTTCCTTTATTTAAGGATTCCTAGATGAAGTTATGAAGAAGTATGGCAGTTTGGTTCCACTCAGTGAGAAAGAAGTCCTTGGAAGATTAAAAGATGTCTTTAATGAAGACTTTTCTAATAGGTATATAAATGATGCTAAAGTTAAGCCCTTGAAAATAAAATTGTTAGCATATATGACTTTTCTCTTGATTTAAGGAAAAAAAAAAAGAAGATACTTAGCAATAAATTGAGAAGTACTAATATTTTTTTTTACCTTTTCTTTCAAAATCTTTCTGTTTCAGAAAACCATTTATCAATAGAGAAATAACAAACTATCGGGCCAGACATCAAAAATGTAACTTCCGTATCTTCTATAATAAACACATGCTGGATATGGACGACCTGGCGACTCTGGATGGTCAGAACTGGCTGAATGACCAGGTTAGTATATTGTAGTTTGTCAATGTGGAGAAGTTGCAGAGGATGTTGGTCAGTTAAATATAATCTCTGGTTTGGCCTCTCGGTTGTCTTTTGGAATCAAGGATTGTTTATTCTTTATTCGTTACTTACTAACCCCAGGATCCAAATGGCTTGATTACTGCTGACAGTAATAATATATGATTCTTTCTGATTGGGGTGTTCTGAATTGTATAGGGTTAGTAGCCTGGTTTTATTTATTTATTTTGTTTTGTTTTTCTTTCTCCAACTTATTGGTACTTACTGTAAGCTGGTTTTATGTTGACTTCTTATAGGTCATTAATATGTACGGTGAGCTGATAATGGATGCAGTCCCAGACAAAGTAAGTGAAAACTTGCTCTTCTCCAGGAGAGAGTGTCCTTGTGTATTAAAAAGAGTAGTTTTGTTTTGTTTTTAAATTTGTTGTAAATATTTGACATTCCTTAAATTTTTAAAAAGGAGAATTCAGTTTTGTCCTGATCATGTACTGGGGTTGACCTTAAGTTCCATCAGATCATTTCTGCATAAGAAAATCACTGTGCAATTGTTTTCCTATTTATTTGTGTTAACTTGTGTTAGGGTAGGTATGTTTGTTAATATCTGGAGAGGGCTTTTTGTTGTTGTTTTTAGTGGGGAGATGTGCAAAATGGGACTAGTTAAGCATCTTACATTTATTTATTTATGTAACTTTTTTTTTTTTTTTTTTT